TTTTGTATACAGCCCTCGCTTTGAAAAATGAGGTATAACACAGTAGACGCTATTCTTAGTCAATGAGTCAATGAAATGTAATTGATATGGCAGGGTTAACAATACATGCCTGCGTAAGAATTTTAAAATTATGCTCTATAGGTATTATAAATCATTTAAAATAGACTTTTTTCAATGCTTTTTTTAAGCTATTTACATATTCATGATCTACGACAGATGATGGTAGCTTATTCCAACAATCAATAAAAAAAAAAAAAAAATGAAACTAGTGGCAGCGCTTGGCCAGGTAGTATTTAATTTTGATTTGATTTCATTTATCTTTGGTTTCATTTTATTTCTATTTTACATTTTACTTTCACTTGCTTTTATTTTAAAAAGAAAAATGAGAAATAAATCGAAATTAAAAAAAAAATAACAAAAATAATTCCTATAAATTTGAATATTTTTAATGGCAGTTCTCGGCCACCATACAATTGTTTTCGCAACTGTTTCATTATGATGTAAGAGGTTAAATATGGGAAATTCTGCACTACTGGAACGTCTGGAACGCTGACGCAGATTACCGCACCTGAACATAGTTAACTTACAATTACATGAAAGAGAGCTGGGCACCACTTTACCCAGACTCTTTGTCACAGCTTACCATTTCGTCTCGAGTGTTTTCGTCTGTAACAGATTGTTTTCCGTGAATTATTAAGTGGAAAAAGCCAGCTCCAGTATGTCTAAGGCTCCTTCAGGTAGGCCAAGCAAATCTCATTGAGTTTACTTTCAACTTTAGCAACAAAAGTGGTTCTTGTTGTGCTTTGTAGAAGGAAAAATCCTCTGCTTTCTCAGTTTAGGTCATACTGCGTAAGCTTATTAATTACCTTGGTTGACAATATGCTAACCTCTTTGTCATTTTCGAGCGAAGTTTGATCAAAGCATTGAGGCTAAAGGGGATAAATTTGAGAGAAAAGGTTAAGGGATACTCTTGTTCCTTCAGAGTTGATAGTTACACGTGATACAATGATTGCACTATGTAAAGTCTAATTACATTGCCGCATTCATTTAATTCATCCAAAGGACGTCATAGTCAGCGTAAAATGGGAAATATTAAAGGCGAAAATTTCCTGTTTCGTCTGCTTGAGAAGCTTTATTGGTGTGATTGATTTGACTGTAGCACTATGCAATATATTCCTAACATATCAATAACTAGTCTGCGTATTATGGTATAGCAAGCGAGGATCGAGGAGATCTGAATGGGATACTTTAAAGCTTGCTATGGTATTCATGCGCTCAATACCTCTTAATCTCACATAAAAAAATCTCACATGATAAATTACCACAAATATAAATCTTCTTCAGCTGAATGACACACTCTGCATGCTAATCAAGTATTGGGGTTCTCTTTAAGATTTGGCCAAAGAGAAAATAGTTCTTGATTGCCCCTTGTCTGAATATAAATAAGGTTACTAGAGGTAAGGGATATCTAGGAGGAGAATTCTGAGGAGTACCTGATCAACTCTCTCATCTCTGATACCTAATCAAAACCCAAATAACAACAAGTATTCTTTAGACTGTCTCAAAATATCTATGGACAAATTAACTATTATATATAACTTTTTCTATGTAACTTGACACAGTAGAAAATTTGAAAATATCAAATTTCCTTCCCTGTTAGTATTTGGTTTCTGAGCAGAACTTACTAAAACTACCTCTTGGTAGAATTTTCAGTGTTCTCTGACTGCTAATGATTGGTACCAGTCTAAGAGGTGAAATTGGTGTGAAATTTCCATGTTGTATGACAGTCATGTGCATGTTAAACACTTTTAAGACTAGGAAAGTCATCTATATTGAAGATGTTTATAGAAATAATGCTTTCAAAAGAGGTTAATATTCTTGGACCAAACACTGTCTTTTCATTTACATCACTAATATACATGTATATTCGGAGGTCCATATTCATGAAAAAGAATAATTAATTTGTATATTTACTTAAAAAAAAAAGGGTTACATAATTAGCTAAGTTTATAAATAAGCATTCTACCAGATGAGTTTAAGCTCACCTTCTTCGTACAGCCAAATGTTACTTTTCAAGGAATCTCCATTCATTAGCAAATGTCTTTTTTGCTTTAAAAGCCTTGTATTTACTGTAGTGTACTGCAAAAGGGGGGAACTTATCTGCAAATGTGGCCTACCTGCTAGTGGTTATGGTAACTTGAATGTGGGAAATAAATAAAGGATAACAAACAGTCAAACTTTCTTAAATTCGCTCTTTTTGTTTTTACCCTGTATCTATGACAGCAGTGGCCACTTAGAGGCATTCTTAGTGCCAAGATTTTTTAAAGCTGTCTGAATGGCTACATGCAACTGTACATTTCTAATTTCTAATAAAAGAACAAATCACACAAAGTGCTAAACCGCCTCCCGGTTAGCTCAATTGGTTAGAGTGCTGGATTGTGTTGTGCGGGAGGTCAAGGGTTTGTGACCCAGCCAGACCAATACTCGTGGTCTTAAAATAACTGAGGAGAATTTGCTACCTTTCTATAATATCAAGAAATGGACAGATATTCTAGTCTTCTCGGATAAGGACTAATAAACCGTAGGCCCTGTCTCCTGCAGGGTGAGGGGTAGGAGACGTTAATTTCCCACGCACGAGATTACTGTGTGGTGGATGTCCTCCCCTGGGGTGGGATGGGTGGGTTTACTGGGCCTGCAGTAATTGGCGCAAGCTGTCGCAGTGTCCCTGCCTGTCAGCAAATCTAACAAATTAAATTAAATTAAACAAATTCGCGTCAATACCGTACATGGCAAATATGAGGAGTCTTTCTATAATTTCCTAGGTTCATATCCAAAGCAGGGTGCAGGATACCCAACCCAACAGCCAGCATACCCAACCCAACCTCAGCCCATGCAGTATCCACTGCAAGGACAGTTTGTAGGTGCTGCAAGGGGGCAAATGTATGGTGTCCCACCTCCTCCATACAGCGAAATGCCAGTATCAGGACATGCCCCCCAACAAGCTCCTAGAGGAATGTACAATGTGAGTTGACTGTCTATAATCGTAATTTGGATATATTGGATATATCCATTCTCGTAATTTGGATATACATAATTATAATACTAGGGGATGTAGTAATATTCATTTGAATAGGATTTCATCTAAATCAGGAAGTAGATCATTTCCTTATGCAGCTGCTGAGCTTTTTAATGACTTACCAAATCATGTAAAGAATTCTGAATCGATAGGGAGTTTTACTTCAAACTATTGGTTTGAGAAATGATTGTATGTAATTTTAGTTGTATATATATTTAGCTTTTATACTTATTTATTTATTTAATTAATTTAATTTATTTATATGTATATTATGATTCATTCTGTACACAGCTTCAATGTAAATAAGTGACAACTTTTTTAATTCTGTGTATAATAAAGTTATTTATTTTACTTATTTTAATAATAAGAATACCAATCAATGTCAGCAATTATAGATACCCTTCTTTTTGAAACTTGATATTGTAAAAATTGTGTTCTGGGGTAGATTTGACTTTGTTTACTTCGCAATTTGTTTGATTTTGAGGTATTTTTGTGCTTCTGTGATCTGTTATGTTTCCTTGTGGTGAAGTTTATTGCCTTTCATTATGTGTTTCATGTTGCACTCCTCCTATGAACTTTGAACATTTTGAAGCCAGAACTTTTCAGATGGGTACTATCATCCCTTAGCCCGTCAGATCTTGTGTTGATGTAATATTCTAGTATATGTAGCTGTAAACCAAAAACCATGAGTTTGTTAATTGTGAAACTGTAGGCTTAAGTGTTACACACATTACATGGTATCAGAAAATTGTATTTACTCGAATAAGTGCCGTGGTGCTTATTTAATTTTTTGCGCCACAAGTGCAGCACTTATTTGAGGGCAGCGCTTATTTAAAAATTGTACCAGGCAAATTTACTTTTTCTATATTTTTATTTAATGGTACACTTTCTATTTATCAATTTTCCTATGGACTGATGCTAACTGATAGTAAATCTAGAATTACGAGAGAAATTCATGTGGTGAATAAAACCCGAGCATTTCATGATAAACCCGAGCAGAGAAATACAGTCACTTTGAACTAAAGAACATCACATTTAAAGAATATAAATTGCCGATGCTGTTAAAATTGTTTTATAGTGTTTTTCCTGGTTATACCGAATTCCTCGAATAAGTGCCGCATGGGGGGGTGCAGCGCTTATTCGAGGGTGGTGCTTATTAACTTTTTTTGTCCCAGATGCGGCGCTTATTCGAGGGTGGTGCTTAATCAAGGGCGGTGCTTATTCGAGTAAATACAGTATGGATTAAACCTCACTCTTTGGAAACTTAACATCATGCTGTTGACATGTGCTTTTTTAGTAGACTCGGTAATTACAATTATGTTGGATGGTTGGCCAAGTTTCCCAAAATATTCATTAAATTGATAATGAAGATACATTGTCAACTTGCCAACAATTCTGAATATCTTAGAGGATGGAAATTGGTGAATATCAACAACTGGGAATACTTGAAAAACTTTTTCCAATATTTTTAGTTCAGTAGTATGTAGAAATAGTTCTGAAATAGAAGTCTGTTATGAGAAATTTCCATGAATATTTGATATTGATGTCTTCATTCTGCAAACACATACATCATGCAAGAGAGTTTGCCACTAGCACACTTTATGATGGGATTCAAAATTTTCCTTGTTTTAGAATTTTTTAAACCGATTTGATTTTTTAATACCTTTTGTTCCAGATAAAAGAATATTAGTGAAAAGAAGAAAAATAAAAATGAATTTGATATTAAAATTTTTAAATCAAAGATAACTTCAAACCTCAACAAATAGAAAAAAGACCTCTTGGAAATTTTTCAGAGGGAAATTATACAATAATTTTGTCTTGTTCATCACAAACCAAGGTACTGGTTAACTGCATACCATGATGATGAAAGGTAACAAAGAATAATTTTAAAAAATGAGAATATTGCCACAGTTGTTTAAATGAATACAAATAATCTATAGTTACCAACATCTCCCTCTACCAGGGGTAGAGGGAGATGTGGCAAAATAAGAGGAACTTGTTTCTGGGAAATGTTTCTTGGTAGAGGAGAGCGATGGTTTGACAAATAACCTCTTGATGGCTGCTGCAATTTGTATTTTCAGACGTACTTTGGTCATTGGGTAGACTTGGTTGGTATAGTTTAACAGACTTTTGGTTTTATCCTCACTGATTTTTTCTTATTTACCTTACAAAGCCTCAGCTACAGATGCAGCAGTATCCTGGTATGGCTCCTGGAGGACATTATCCCAGGCAACATTATCCTGTGGGACAATACCCTGCACAGGGTCCCCCACAACAACTGGCACATGGTACCTTTGACCCTGGGGCTAGATTTGGAGCTGGATCAACAGTGAATATTCCAGTAAGTGCACAATTGATCCAATTTCATTATTTGTTGTAATTATTGGAATATAATGGGAAGACATTTTGTTTTCAAAAGATTACTCACATTTCTCTCCTATAACCTGATTGGTAGCTTACCTTCTGTCTTCTCCTCCCTCACTTTAAATCAATGTTACAAGATTCATCATGTAGTCCACCCCTGACCATCTATATCATTCTATATTGTAAAGCCTCTTCACAAAATTGGAGGAGGGCAGGAAAGATTTAATTAATAGAAAGTAAGTGTTGTTGGGTTCAAAGAATTAGTGTCTCTCAAGAAGGTTTGTCATGATTAAGATTAAATCTGTTTGTTGTGGTCAGCGTTAACTATTTTTGGGCAGTAAAACATCAAACACCCTGTGCACATTTTCCAAGACTGAGAAATTAGTTGATAATTTAATGAAGTGACTTATTTCTGCTAGAGGTATTGCATTTCATGATACACTTTGAATTTATATCTTCAATTTCATGATTACTACAATCATGACACCATAATCAAACACACTGATAACCCTGTGTTATCTTCTGATTTGAAATGTGTGGAAAAAAGTGAAGTGGAAATCAAATTGTTAGAAGTGGCATTGAATTAAAAATGGCTTTTTGAAAGGTAACTGATGATTGAATAATGATCAATCAATCAATCAATTTATTATGTGAGCATACATAAAAGGAAACATCAGAGGTTATCCTTATCGAGGATGCTCCCTACATAAAATATGAAATATATACACTACAATGTAAAATTTAAGAATCATCAAGAAATGGGTAGGAAAAAAAATTACAAAATTTTACAATACTTTCTAAGTTTACCACGAAAAATCTTGAAATCCTGTTTGTGCACTATCTCTACAGGAAGAGCATTCCACTGTTTTATAAGTAACAAAAAAAACAAATTACTCTAGCTGATGGCTGTCTTAATTTAAATGAATGGTTTGATCTTGTTTTACCTTAACAATTAAATTCAAAATAATCATTACAGTTGAGGCCATTAAGACCGTGAATAGTCTTGTAGCACTCTAGCAAAGATAGGTAAGACCTCCTTGATTGAAGGCTGGACCACCCAAGCATTGCCAGTCTTTCTTTGTACGGCGAGTCCCTAGATGACATCGGGAGAGTGTATTTCCAGGCCCAACTTTGTACTCGTTCAAGAGCATCAATGTTCTTCTTTAAATATGGTGACCAGAGAGGGACAGCATATTCCAGAAAGGCCTTGTACAGATCCGAAGAGTCGTTGAAATAAAGTTTGAAACCTTTTCTGGTTACACCCTTTGCCAAACACTAAAAAACTACATGTATGTGAAAATCATTGAACTATGGAATAGGCTAGAATTTTCGTTTTTCCACAACTCCCACTTTCTTTCCCCTGGAGTAATTGTGAGGTGATACTCAGCAAGGGATAACAAGCAAATCACAACAACAAGTAGGAATGTTGATTGGTCAGATAGCAGGACTGGCGAGGAGACCAAAAATTAGGCTCATTCCATGGTTCAATTATTTTCTTAGTATCTTCTTTTTGAATTGAGCGTTTTTTCTTTTTTTCTGTTTGACAGCCCCCTCCACCAGGATATGCTCCCAATGCAGCCCAGGCGATGGCTTCACAAGGTCAACCTGTCAATGTTCAACAAAGACAAGCTGGATGGTTCAGTGGAGGTACAGATGGTGGATATACCTTTTGGTAAAACCTCTGTAGGTGGTCATCCAACTGTCTGAACTGTACTCTGCTGTTAATTAGTGAAAACCATTAGAATGTAAATCATGCTAAATGAATAGGTTTCATTGAAATCAGTGTGGCTTAATGAAGAAATCTCTAGATACCTTAACAAATTTGTTACCTAGTTGTGTTACCTAGTTGTGCTGAGTTAATTTCTTGGTCTTGAACCTTATCTCTCTAAAGAACTGGAATTAACAATCAGCTGATGATTTCATAGTTTAAGGGCAATCAAAACCAATTTGGGAGTATTTAATGTTGGAGTTGTTTTTAAAGAGATGGAAAAGAGGGGACTTCTGGAATATTGGTTGCCAAGTGTCATTATGGTATTTTACTTACGTTATGATTTTATTTTCACAATTTTGGTTCCTTCTCTTTTGTTTTGCAATATACTTAGTTATCTTTTACCTACCACCATTGATTTTGAGAAATTACTGCAATAGTCTTGACTTTAAGTGATGTGCACTGTTAGTTTTAATAGTAGTTGATCAGTTTAACCTACTGGCTGAGCTTTGGAAATTTTATTGCAGATGGGCACATTGACGAAATATGAAGATTGTTGATCTTTTGTTTGAAAAAAACTACTTCTGTTTCTGCCACTCAGTTCTGTTTGTAGTCTAAACTGTTCATTTTCCTGCTGTTAATGGCTTCAATTATATCTACACTATAATTACATGAAAGTAGTACAAACGCAGAAAAAAAAAAAGGGTCTTCTGACATGTTGTACGTGTTTATATAAATGGTAGAGAATGAGTTAATTGCACGACATTTCCCAAGGGCACTTTCTACCGAGTTACTAGGCTAAGCGTAATCACCCATCTGAGAGGCTGGGTCAAGGGACAGGTGAAAGTGCATGAGGTTTTTTTTTTAAATTTTCCTTTAACTTCAAGAGTATGCAGTAAATCCTTCGCCTTCGGCTCGTCACTTAGAATCTTTTGCTGCAACGTTCCAATATCTTATATGGGTAATTATGCTGATAAACATGTTGCAGGGGTGATCTTTTGTTTCGTCAAAAAAAAGAAAAAAACAAATGAATGCTCAGTTTTCTGTGGGTTGATCGGTACATTGTACGGTAAGCTTTGACAAATCATAGAGTGGGTCGTCAGAAATGGTATTATTGCGCCCTTTAGTAGAGTACTCTGACCATCTGGTGGGTGTAATCCCGATAGACAAGAAAATCTACTGACTAGTTCACCAACGTCGATAAGACAACGCAATAGATGTCAACAACTGCTGGCACTTTACGCGAGAGTAGGGACTTTAGGGACCTTACGCAACCACGACGGCGACGGCAACGAGGACGTGGAAAAACAAGAGATCTAATTGGCAGAACAATAGCTCAACACGTGCGTTTTGAAACTTTGTACATTTCTTAGCCGTCCTATGCAAAACAACAACGTGAAATCGCCAAAATTTGCGTCGTCTGCGAACCGAAACCGCGACGGCAAATTATTTTAATTTCCATTTGGAACTCAACGCTACTTTTATACGTCATGCTGAAGTTGAGCTGTGGCGCCGTAT